TGTGAATGTTTATTTTTCTAAAACGTGTGTGTATGTACATGTGTGTGGTGTGTGTGTACTGAGCAAGTAATATGAGAACAATTATTATAAATTATGTCCTCGTATCTTGATGATTACCACATAAGCTTTGTTATCATCCGTCATCTCATATAGATACAAAAAAAAGTGAGAAGAAAAAAGAACAAGAAGGGAAAATGTGTGTGTTTTTCTTGTGCTGAGTACTTGGAGGATCTACTCTCTCAGTGACATCAAATACACCACACAGCCATGTTAACCAGTCAGCATGTTATCATCACATCCCCAGTGTCACATATCCTGTAACCGGAAGTTTGTGCATTTTGATCATCATCAATTCTCCCACTGCCCAACCTGCATTTATGGTCATGACGAATACAATCCCTTTTTGTACGCCATTTTTTAGATTCCACAGATAAGCTAGATCATACAGTATGTCTTTCTCTGTGTGACTTACTTAGTTTATCATTATGCCCTCAAGGTCCATTTTTGATCTTGCAAATGGCAGGATTTCCCTCCTTATATGGCTGAATAGTATTCCATCATATATGCTTGATTCATTCACCTGTTGCTGGATACTTAGGTTGTTTTCATGTCTTGGCTGTGGTACAAAATGCTTCAGTAAACATGGGAGCACAGATAACTCTGCGACACAGTGATTTTGTTTCCTTTAGCTAAATACCCAGAGGTGGGATTGCTGGATAATATGGTAGTTCTATTGTTAATTTTTTCAGGAACCTCCATCCTGTTTTCCGTAGTGGCTGCACCAATTCAATTACCACCAATAGTGCACACGGGTTCCCCTTTCTGCACATCTGCACCACCATTTATTGTATCTGTTTTGTTGTCATTAGTAGAGATTTTTAACTTTTTTATGGTTGTGCTGTTTTGTTTCTGGTGGTCAGTTTTAGAGGTTCTTTTACAATCTAGATATTATCATACTATCAGATACATAATTTGCAAATATTTTCTACCATTCCACAGGCTCCTTTTCATGATGTTGATTGTGTCTTTTTAATGCACATACAGTTTTGAGTTTCATCTCTCCTGATTTGTCTGCTTTTGTTCTAGTGGCCTATGTTTTCATATCCTATTGAATAAACTATTGCCAATTCCATTGTCATGAAGGTTTCCTTTATGTTTTCTCTAGGGATTTCATACTTTTCCACCTTACATTTACGCCCTTAAACCATTTTGAGATAAGTTTTGTATATGGTCTATGATAGGGTCAGTTATATTGTTTTGCAGGAGGATGTCCAGGATCCCAGCACCATTTCCTGATGACACTGCTCTTTTTCCATCAGCTGATCAATCAATGCAGGAAAATAAAATGACAAAATTCAACATAGTTTCTGATTTACAAAAACCATGCAACACACTGGGAATAGAAGTAAACTGTTTCATATAATAAAGTCCCTATATGACAAGTGCACATGTAACTTCATTCTCAATAGTGAACAGTGGCGGTCATACCCAAAAAATTTCACCACACCAAAAAAAAAATGAAATGAAGGCATCCAAATTGTAAAGGAATGTGTAAAATTAGCATTGTGACATATGACATGATCTTATATGTGGAATATTTTACCCCATCAATTTAATGGAGTTTTCTGTTAGCTGAAGAGTTTAATGTGTGTGTGGATTTGTTTTGCATTGTGTATAAGTTTGCTCATTTCTTGGACAGTGCAGTAATTAAAATGCAGACCTGAGTGAACAGTTTGTGCGTGGGTCAGTATGTGCGTGTGAGTCCATTTGTGTGTGTGAGGGGGAGCAATTGCAGGGTAATAACAGTTTCATTTGTATCTACCATCAGTCCAACTTGTGATATCAAATAGTTTTATTTAAGAAACTCACCTTGTTACATGTATTTACCTCACTTTAATGAAAGCAATTTATTCACAGTAATTCCTTCTTTATGATAAACTGAATGTGTAACCAAATGTAGGCCCATATACTCTTTCCAGGATTCTGATCTGTGAATTGACCCAAGAATGAAGGTAGCTGCTTAGTTGTCACCAGGTCATTCTGTGGGAGGCAGTGAATTAAGTCCATGGCTTATCAGGTATGACCTTGAGTGACCCTTTCAGCCCCTTTGCAGCTTCCTCCAGGCTCTTCCTGACTCTGAGAGCACTGAGCATGCTCAGTATTCTCATAGCTCTGTCACTCAGGCATGTTTTCTGCTCTTGGCCCCAGAACCTGAAGCAATAGACCCCACACAAACCACACTTTTTTAACCACGACAGAACTGGGGGTTCAGAGCAACACTACAGGATAGGGAGTGACCTTAGTTATGAAAACCATGGAGCTCAGAATGGCCAGCAGGAGGAGGATATGGAGCCCTGGTGTCCTAGAAATGTCCTGGGTCACGGGTGAGAAGGGGAAGGCCAACGTGAGGTCACTGTGCCCACAGTGGTGACTGTGCCCATGACGAGGTCCGTGTCGGGACGACCCTGTGAGAATGCACACCAGTGGGAATACTCCCATGAGCAGACACTTGTTCTTGTCCAGAAGTAGCTTCACCTTTCTCCTGCTTCCTCCACAGGGGCTCTGGCCCAGGTGACCCTGCAGGAGTCTGGTCCTGGGCTGTTGAGACTCAGCCAGACCCTTACACTGACCTGCTCCTTCTCGGGGTTCTCACTCAGCACTACTAATATGGGTGTTGGCTGGGTCCGTCAGCCGCCTGGGAAGCCCCTGGAGTGGCTCACACACATTTGGTGGGATGATGAGAAGTATTACAGCCCATCTCTGAAGAGCCGGCTCACGATCTCCAAGGACACTTCCAAAAACCAGGTGGTCCTAACAATGACCAGCATGGACCCTGCAGACACAGCCACGTATTACTGTGCACGGAGGCCACAGTGACACAGCCCAGGGGGCTCCTGTACAAGAACCCAGGCTGGTCCTCAGCTGGGCCCCCATGTCTGCAGCACAGGAATGTGTGGCAGATGGCATTTCCTGCCAGGCTCTGGGGTTCCTCCCCACCCACAGCCTCAGAGCCCCGTCTTCCTTTCTCTCCTCTCCTTAGGAGACCCATGTCCCTGTTAGTGCCGCATAGAGGTGAGAGGCTGAATTCTGTCTCATCAG